TTGGAGGCGGCGGCGGTTGTTGTTTTCATGGCGTGTGCTCATTACATATTCGAGCCCGTTAAATTGCTGATCAATAATTGCTTTTTAAATAATCATTCCATCATTTTTTATGCAGCATGTTTCAAAAGAAATAGCTTGCTTTTTTTTTTTCCACAAAGGTGCAGAACTAAAAAGCAATCAAAGCAGTCTCTCTGTGAGAGAGATTTAGGAAAAGAGCATTTGCTGGTTGGCATTCATGCCCACTCCCTATCCCATTAAGGTGTCTAGTTGCTCTCCCAGTCGCTCACCTTGGGTAAAGGACAGCACTAATATAGAAGGATACTGGATACAAGATTCTCATCCCTCTTCCAGTTCAGGATGGCACAGCTTGCATGAGTATTGCATGAAGTGTCTCATGACTATTTTAGGTTTATTAAACCCATTTCAGTGACATAAGCTAGCAGTGATGTGGGTGAACATACCTATCCTTGAGTGGAGAACATGAGATCAGGCTCTGTAAGAAAGAAAAAAAACTTTTGGCCTTAGTAGAGGACTGTACTTGTATCTATACATTCTGACTTTTTGCTATCTTATTGTAATGATTTAAAATACAGCATGGTTTGTCATGCAATGCATTTCCGACATTTCTGTTTCTGATCATCGTTCTCTAAGAAAAGTTTGTATATGCTAGGAAAATGCTGAGCCAGTGATAAACATACAACCAATTGATTTTTCCTGTCCTAGTCAGCTAGTACTGAAAATATTTTAATTGCTGATTTAGCAGCACAAGAAACATTATTATTCCACTTTCTACTATTATTGCTAGCACTGTTAATGTAGTTGAGTAACTATAAGGATTGTTCTTGCTTGGCTGAAGTCACCCGAAAGACCCTTGCTGCTGGCAACTGCATGTATGGCAGTTACTGTTGCTGACAACTGTGTTCACTGAGGTCAGCAGAAAGACTCCCATGACTTCATTGAGGTTTGAAATTGAGAAACCGAATCTAAGTTTGCATGCTTCTAAGACATTGTAGTGCATTGTCATCAAATCATTCAGCTAAACGTGTATGAATTTTTATATTTCTTAAGTAGTTATACTTGATTTTGTGAAGACTTGATACTAATTGCAAAAGAAATACTCTCCAGGCAGAAAAACTGCATAGAGTCAGGTCCATAGCTCTTTAAAATCAGTGACGTTTTTCCACTGGGCTGTGAATTGGGTCTTAAAAAATAAGAACGCAAAATAATATAGAATATAGAATATAAAAATCACTAAATTGCCATGTTATGGTCCAATATCTCTTGTCACCTTTTCGTACTATATTTGCTTTTAGAATAAAAGCAAAAGTGTTCTCAAAGTAACTGTGAAAACAGGTGGACATTAACTAGAATCTTTTAGGCTGAAAACAACAGGATCACATATCAAAAGGATCACATATCAACTTGTGAAACTTACAGCATGCCTACAGAAATACTGTAATGAGGGGCTCGATAAGTTATGCCTGGAGCAATTAAAAACTGCCATGCTCCATGCTGACTTTCAGCATACATCATTATTTAAATGAATACCATCTTATTCAATATGTTTGCAATTTTGTAACCAGAAAGGATTCTGGAACGCCAGTTCTGGACCCAGTCTTCACATTCTGGCAGTGCTTGGATCCATTTGTTGTGACGTGTTCATTGCTATTTTTAACTTATGTAATAAGAATTTAATCTTATTTGCAACAAACTCCATCATACTGAAGGCATTCAAAAAGCTTTATGGTACACAATAAATAATGCTGGTCAGTAGCTTACAAGCACTGTATCTTTTCCCCCTCCAGAATGCTACCAGATATGTCAATATTCATGTTTTGGATTATATGAGAATGAAATATAAATAAAGTCGTGAAACTACAGAAGAAACACTAAAGATGGTATTTTCACTAGTGCTGCTATAACAGAATGGAAATATTTCGAGATGAAAGGCTACTTGAAAATTTAAAATATGAACCATATTTTTTAGAAAAATAATATTTAAATACCAAGTAGAAAGTCCACATTCTATCTGCTTACCCCACACAATTCAAAAGCAGGATATGAACTACTAGAAAACAAAAAGTTACTGAATTAACTACACTGTATTTGCTTCTGTTTTGCAACCATTTTACTTCATAGCAGTTCCATGACTTTCTTATTTGTAGAAAGGATGGGGTGAGGTAGAAATGTGCAACATTCTTTTCTAACTTGCTTGTGACTCTAAAATTGGTTTGAAGTCACTGAGCAGGGAAGAATGCAAACAACTGAGTGAATGTGATTTCCAAGTTCAGTGCAAGTACATGCAGCTAAGCATACATTACATCGCAAATAATAGTCTATCTGATTATGCAAGCTAGTGGAATCTACTGGCAAATCTGTACATACATATCTTGGGAATTTTCATGAGTATACCAAGAAGTTCCTGATTCACAAATTGGCATGGCTCAAGTAAAGATGCTCGGTGGATACCTGTGGTTCTTGTGTAGCGCATACTAGTTTAAATTCTGTGTAGCTGTTCTACTTTATTCTGCTTTTGCTCTAAGCTCTTAATTTTGATAGGCGTACCACGAAAAAGCCCCAGCCTCTCACATATCTTAATTCTTCTTATAGTTATAACTTTGTCAACTGTCTCCCTTAATAGCCGAGATGCCGAGACAATTTCCAAAGCTGAACATCTCTGAGGTTGACGAGCATGTGCGACTTATGGCAGAGAAGGTATTTGCTAAAGTTCTCCGAGAAGAAGACAGCAAAGATGCCTTGTCACTATTCACTGTGCCTGAAGACTGCCCTATTGGGCAGAAGGAGGCCAAGGAAAGGGAACTGCAGAAGGAACTGGCAGAACAACAGTCTGCAGAAACAGCTAAAAGGTTTGTTCAGTAGTTGCTTTCTTAGTGGAAAATAGTTTTCTAAATAAGTTTGAGTTAATATTGAAATATCTGGCAAATAACATTCTACCTGTTATTACTTCAGGAGAAAGGTCAACAGCAGGTACCAAGGGCACCTGTGTGTTGTCCTTCTGTGCTATGTAGAAGGTGTGGGGATAGGCCCTAGGGAGCTGGGATTGGTGAGGTTGTCCAGCAATAGCATAGATATTGCTTATGCAAGTTTAACAAACAGCATAGCTGGGTAGAAGTGAGCATGGCTCTAAGACTCTTTAAAGTAAAAAGAATCAGAAAAAGAAACACTTCCCCCTGCCCCAGCCCCTGCCCCCCCTTTATTCTAGTTTCATTCAGAGAAATGGAAATTTTTAACACAGAGAAAATGACAGTGGTATGATACTTCTTTTAGTCTCTGTAAAAATAGATGAAAGCAAAGACTTGACATTTAACATCAAGGGAGAAGGTGAAAAGTGGTATTTGCATAATGAGGTCATTCATAGGTTTCTTTAACTTGCAGAGATAAAATCTAACCACTATCAGTCATAAAACTGCACGTTTTGAGTTTTTTCAAACAAAAAAAAAAAGTACAGTCCACCTTTGGTTTACCCATGAATCTAATGAAGCCAAACTTGACTTGGTTTATGATTTTCTTCTGTGAGAGAGGTAGCCTTACCCTGATACCAGGCTGTTCCAGTACCTTAACTTCAGTGAACTGGCTAGACTGTTTCCTAGAATCACCTGAGCTCAGCAGCAGTCTGTACACATCCAAGCCATTTGGTGTCAGACTCATCAAAAAGCAGGCAAACAAGGAAGCCTTTGAAAGTGATAGCTGAACACATGTACCCGGTTAGCTGCAGACAATCAGTTGGGCAATGCTAGGCATCATATTTCTGGAACAGAAAGGAGAAGAGACAATTTAATTTAAGTGTGACACACTGATGATACAGGCTGAGACTTTTGGGTTTGAATGGTGCAAGTGGGTTTCCCAGCTGGCATGTTCATAGACAAACATGCACAGAAGGGCAAACTAGATGTTTTCATTCAAACGACTATTTGGTATATCTTTCCTCCTGAACTAGTAAGTTTCACTTTTAATTGGGTAGATTGTCTTACAGAAATACGTTCTGTCAAACTCAAGTTTTGTACAAGTTTAACTGTGGGAAGTGGGATATTATATGTATGTTGTTTACATGTGGGAACAGAACAAGTATTCATCCCTGTCCTACAGGACTGAGGTGTACTTCAAGGACAGTTACACGAGTAAGACTTCTGTGGTTTTCATTTGCAGTTGATCCAATACTGCCTTTCAAGGATTTCATACTGAGTTCAAAAGTGGCTACAAGTACTTGAGAGGATGGAATTTGGTCATAGGGTATTGATTGTACCAGCACTGCATGTTCTTATTCTTCCGAACGTCACAGAAGTAACATGCAGCTCCCAGAGAGTATCTCAGTATTCCTTTTTCTTTGTTAGTGATTCTCACTAACATTTTAAGGTTTTGGCATCTAGTTTATAAAATGAGGGAGTATTTCCACAGTGCAAAAGAAAGTGATATCACATGTAGCTTATAACATTCTATTTATTTATTATATGAATATTTAAAATACATTTAAACTGAGTAAGGAAAATTAATTAAATCTTTAGAGATATTCCAAACCTTCACTTGAGGTATTACAATTACTTCACTGAAAAATCCATTGTTCTTTTTTTTTAAGCTGGCTTGTCAAAGGTACATATCTATCATACTTTTGCTGAGAAAGGGCGAAAGTTTTTAAATCTGAGGGTCAGCCATTTATTGCCCTGAGGGGAGGAATGGACTTGCATATCAAAGCCATGCTATGTTACTGCTCTAATAACCAACATTAGCCTTTTGCTCAAGTCTCATCAAACACTGCCTAAGGAATAACTATGTGCTTGTCCCTTTTCTTACAAGTTTAACTGAATGACTATAAATGAAATTTTGATGCATATTCTTGTCTGACAACTAGATGAGTTTTTAAATCCTGCATGTGTTGGGAAGAATTAAAAGTGTGTGTAATAGCATGACAACTTATAACAACTTACCACACATAACATTTACTTGTTTCTGTCTGATACTTTGTGAATTCAGATGCTACTAGTCTTTAAGAATCAACTCCTACTAAAGTAAGCACAGTGATAGCATTTTTCTTCTGTACAGTGACTTGCTGAAACTGAATTTGTAAGAAGTGAAACAAAACAAACATTAGGGCATCTTACAGAGATTGTAAATAAATTACAGCATATTGTGTGGAGAGTAAGTGCAATTGTATGTAGCACATATCTGAAATGCCAATAGAAAAAAAGCTAAAAGCACAAATATTTTGTGAACAACATTTTTCCTGTGCTATGAGAGATTTCATTTGTAAAATTTCTTAGGGGGTGATTTCTTTGCTATAATCAGTTTTCCAGTGTATTTAATGTTTTATACCATGGCTTACTTTATGCTTTATACCATGAATTTGTAGGAAGAAAAGTTTCAAGATGATTCGATCCCAGTCTTTGTCATTACAAATTCCATCTCAGGAATGGAAAGCACCATCGACCAATCCTGTTCTGACTCCTGCAACGCCAGGTCTTCCAAGTGCTTTTCTGCCAGTCCAAGTGCCATATGATGTACCAGAGTTTCAGAGAGTTTCAATTAGCGGGGACTACTGTGCAGGGGTAAGAAAGCTTTTTTTTTCCCCTTTCTGTATCTGGAGGGAGGGGGGAAATCCCAAACCACAAGCAACTAATGCATATGAAGTGTGAAATGCCAGCACATTATGGCGCTCTGCAACAAACTCTAAATTGCTTTGTGAACAAATTGATTTGTAAAACAGTTAAAGTCAAGGTCAGGTCGCTTTATACTTTTTATCATAAAAAGTATAATCTAATACAGAAAACAATAATGGGTATTAAATAGATGGGTAATATGTGGTAGGAGGGAAAAAAAGTAAGCGTGTGCATGTATTTTGCACATTGTGTTTGGACTTTGCTTCTGTCACTGGCTTCCTGAGACCTTGGGCAAGATCATTATGGTCAAGCCACATACACTTGCATTTCTGGAAATTCTGTCTCCTTGTTACCTGTGTAGATTCAGTTTGTTGCTAAAGCTGCTGTTTTATTTTTGTCAGTATTTATCCAGGCTTTCCTTTCAGGTTACAGTTGATGATTATGAACAAGCTGCCAAGAGCCTGGTGAAAGCTCTTCTCATTCGAGAAAAGTATTCACGTCTTGCCTACCATCGCTTCCCAAGAACAACATCTCAATATTTGTGTAGCATGCAAGATGAAAAATGGAAGGTTGAAGATGAAGTGTATCCAGGTGAATATCCTTGTTCTTCTTTTTAAAATATAGAATTAAACCCATGCACTGCTGTAGCAAAGGTAAGTTGGATTTTTTTGTCATGATGTCTTCTGAGTGTCTTTGCCTCTCTAACTTATTCTGTTAGTAAGTGGTGAAGAATCACTGATAGACCTAAGCTATAAATCCTGTGTCTAATCTGAAACTTTGAAGCTGTCAAAAGCTTAAGAAAAACCCCAAAAAAACCTTAGATGCTCATTGATTACTCTACCCCCCAGCAAATGGTATAGTAAGTAGTACACTTGTGTTTTTCCAGGAAAAAGATATATGGATATGGTATAAAGTGAAAAGTCATTCCTCCTGACCTTGGTATGCTGAAATAAAGGGAATTATGAGCTCATCTACATTGTAAATTGAAGCACAATACAGATGTGCCTGTTAGCAAGCCCCGAGTCAGTAATTTCACAGGCATGGTACACTGACCGGGTCAAGACTGTAAGCTGTATAGTCATATTTGTTGGGCATTCTGCCTGGGTTACTAAACCCTGATCTCTCAACAAGGCTTATTAGGTTGAACGTATTCCCTACTATATATGTCACAAATTATATTGGTCACTTAGGTGGGTTGTGTCTTGAAAGCTTTGCTTGTGCATTAAACTGCTTGCACTGCTAGTTTTTGGATTAGGCTGTGAAGAGCAACCTTTGGTCTGTACAGATGTGCTACTGCAGATGTGTCCATATTGTTGGCTATGTATTCTCAGCCATAAAGTGACATTTTTAAATCAATTACCTCTAGTTCAGTGGTTGAAATAGGGTGAATTAACATGTTTTCAAGCATTTGTTATATGGAAAG